ATTAAAGCACTGTCAAAAAGCCCCAGGCTCGGATAGTGGGGCGCCAAGGGGCCAAGATGGGTGAAAAATTTATATTTTTATGTATATTTTGTATTCTAAAATTAATATACGATTTTTAGGAATTAATTTAATAAGCAGCACCATTTGTTGATCAATATTCTATTTTTTATGATTTTTTTTTATTTTTCGTCTTTAAAAACTAAAATAAAATAAAAACGATGTTAAAAAATTATAAAACATTACAGACAAGATCCTTACATTTTTCTTAGCATGCATGCAAAAAAATGGCCTCAAAAAATGATAAAAAATGTAAAACGCTGTCAAAAAGCCCCCGGCCTGTGTGGTGGGGCACCCAGGGGCCGAGATGGGTAAAAAATTTAGATTTTTATTTATATTTTTATTTTAATGTTACTATATGATTTTTATGAATTAATGCAACAAGTGGAACCATTTTTTGATGAATATTCTATTTGTTATGATTTTCTTTATTTTTCATCTTTGAAAAATAAAATAAAAATGACGTCAAAAAATTATGAAATTTTGCAGACACGATCCTTACATTTTTCTGGGCATGCCTACAAAAAATTGCCTCCAAAAATGAAAAAAAAAAGGTAAAACGTTGTCAAAAAGCCTCATGCCCGTGTAGTGGGATGCCCAGGGGCCGTGATGTGTCAAAAATTAAAATTTTTATTTCTATTTTGCATTTTAAAATTAATATATGATTTTTTGGAATTAATGCAACAAGCATCACCATTTTTTGATGAAGATTCTATTTTTTATGTTTTTTTTTATATTTTGTCTTTAAAAATAAAATAAAATAAAAACGACGTCAAAAAATTATGAAATTTTGTAGACACCATCCTTACATTTTTCTGGACATTCCTAAAAAAAATGGCCTCAAAAAAGAGAAAGAAAAGTAAAACGCTGTTAAAAATCCCCCGGCCCGCGTAGTGGAGCGCCCATTGGCCGAGATTGGTCAAAATTTTAACTTTTTTATTTATGTTTTGTATTTTAAAATTAATATACGGTTTTTAGGAATTATTGCAACAATCATCACCATTTTTTGATGAATATTATATTTTTTTATGATTTTCTTTATTTTTTCTCTTTGAAAAACAAAATAAAATAAAAATGAGATCACAAAATTATGAAATTTTGTTGATACTATCCTTACATTTTTCTGCGTATGCCTGTAAAAAATGGCATCAAAAAATAATAAAAAAATAAAATGCTGTCAAAAAGCTCCCGCCTGCGTAGTGGGATGCCGAAGGGCCGTGATGGGTTACAAATTTACATTTTTATTTATATTTTACATTCTAAAATTAATATACGATTGTTCTGGAATTAATGTAACAAATAGCACCATTTCTTGATGATTATTCTATTTTTTATGATTTTTTTTATTTTTCATCTTTGAAAAATAAAATAAAATAAAAATGACGTCAAAAAATTATGAAATTTTGCAGAAACGATCAAAATGTGCATCAAAGTCATCCCAAAAGGGTTTTTTTTTTTTTTTTTTTTTGAAAAAGAGAACAAATACGAGATAATTATACTATACGTACTTTGAGTTCAAATTTAGCTATATTTTCATAATATTATAAATATAGAAAAAATGAAATAATCATTGCCATAATAATATCACATTTTGTACTATATAATGATATAATTATTATTTTAATGGTATCAAAATTTTGTTATTCCTGTAATATTTTAAAAACTTTGCTATATTTAAACTCTGCTATAGAAATTTTGCTATATGTGTAAGGAGCCCGACTAAATACTTCTTAAAATGCACGGGTCTTGAAATTTTACTCTTAACATTTGATTAACGCCTTTCTATTAAATAATTATTTAGTGGGTATTAATTATGGTAAAAATCTTAAAACAATATATTTAAAGTGAGTCCACCAAATTTTCTTTTTTCTATTTTTGATGGCTGCCGAAAAGAGTTTTACCTGTTCATTTCACAAATTCGAGTTTAGAATTCGAGTTTTACTACAGTAAAAAGCTCATAAAAATAGTCACATTTAACTTTTTTGCTACAATAAAAGGCTCTCGCATAAAGTCACATCTCAGCTCAAATTAAAAACTTGAATCAGCGAACTAAACGGGCTTAACAAGTATTGCAAAATTTTGATTTGCTTTTTTTTTTTGAAGAAAAATTGTATTCGTTATAAGAAACATCTTTTAGTACATTAGCAACAATAAGTCGACAAATATTTTCCAATCACACCATATCTTGTTCTAGCCTGATACCGTGATTATGCAATCTATGAAGTACATAATTTGCCGTTTTATGTTTATAGTTGACTAATGGTCAAGAAAACACATAATATTAGATGCAAAATTTCCAAACACAAAATCAAAATGTGAGAGTTGGAATGGAGAGCTTGCATAATTTCTAAAGGAGAAATTATATTGACACCCCGTGTGTTTAATTAATACACCTCTTTTAAAAAAATTATACCCTCACTCTCAATTGGATTTATGTAATTTCGCCATTCGTACACCTCACAGACTATCTTGTTTTAGAGAAAATCAAATCCTTGTTAGGCTTGCATGGGTTTCCTTTGTTTTTCTTCTAAATTGCTGGTTGCCTTTCTTCTTGAGGTGGGTTTTGGGTTTTTGATGTCCTCCTTTTTCTTTTTCTTTTTTTTTTTCTTTTTTTTTTCTTTTGAAGCTTCTTGTTTTCTGTTGTTGGGCTGCGGTGATTTTGATAAAAATGGAAAAAAGAGCTAAATTGAAAAAAAAAAAAAAAAAAGAACTGATTTACATGGTTTAGATTTCAATTTTCTGATATTTCTTCTATTTGCTTTAAGGTTTTCTCACTATTTTTGGGTGTGGTCAGTAGTGTGTGAAAAAAGAACAAGAAAGATCCCGTATATACTTCTTAATTTGTTATTTTTTTAGATTGTCTTTATTAGCCATTTTACTAATGAAGGAGTGTATTTATATATATACATATATATATATATATATATGAGGTGTGAATATAATGCCCATTTTTTAATGCATAACTCTCCAAAAGGTTAAGTGGCTTAAAACCGTTTCCAAAGCATCTTGAAGATAGAGCAGGTATAACAAAACCATAATTGTTTCGAATCAAACATTAGTTCCAACTAGATTTCTTATGAAGATATTCCCGCATCAACACTAGTTTGTATTTCCCAATAAGACAAGTCCAAGTCTTGCTAGATCCAATAATGGATCCTTATTTCTTTTGTTCAAAATCTGTTTAGCCAACTGATAGGGCCCGTTTGTTTCCGTTTTTGTTTCTATTTTTCACGTTTTTTGATGATAAAAAATGAAAACGCTTAAACAAAACACGTTTGGTACAAAATTTTCTAAAAATTAAAAACAAAAACGTTTTTGTCTTTTATTGAAAATCTGAAAACGGATTTCATCCGTTTTCATTTTCCCCATTTCATTTTCTCCTTCCCCCATTCTTCTCTCTCTTATCCGACTGCTCTCTTCTCTCTCTATCTCATTCTCTCTCCTCAAACTCATTTCTCTCTCTATCTGTCGCCTCTTCCTCTTCTCTCTCCTCTCTCTGCGTTCGCAACTGGCGGCCATAGCCGAATCTCGCCGGAGCATCTTTTCTTCCCAGATTTCTCTCTCTTCTATCTGCTCTTCTCATCTCACGTCTCTCTCTCTCTCCCCTCTGCGCCTCCTTCTCTCTTCGCCGCTCTCTCTCACCTGCTCCAATTCACTCTATCCCTACTCATGAAAATGGAATTTTAACTTTTATTATAATCAGAGTATGAGAGAGAGAGAGAGGGGCGCAGGGTATGAGAGAGAGAGAGAGAACCAAATTCTCGTTTATAGATCAAACAGATAGAACTCTGTAATGCAACGTTTGGGGACAGAGTGAAAGGAAAGTCTTCAAATTAGGCTCAGATCTTCCTTGATCTATCTATAGAACTCTGTAATGCAAAGAAATAGCAACAAAATGAAAGATTTTATTCTATTAGAGCTTACGATAACATCATAGCCATGAGCCCATATAACAAACAAACACCGTTTATATAAACCAGAAATCAACAACCATGGATCAAACAGATAGACCTCTCTCTCCCTCTCTCTCTCTAGAAGCGCTCTCTCTCTCTCTCTCTCTCTAGAAGCTCTCTTAAGTATTCCTTTCCTCTTTCCAGCAAAAAAAAAATTCCTTCCCTCTCTCTAGGTTCTTACTTAGAAGTAGAGCAGCACACGTGCTTAACCATCGTTTTTAGATTAAAAAACTGTCAACACTAAACATAAATAAATTATTAAATACTATTACATGTTTTTAAAAATTAAACCACCAAACACAATTTCAGTTTTTTTTAAACTGAAAACAATCTCGAAATAAAACTATCAAACGCATTTTCAAAAATGATTTCAAAATGAAAATAAAAACATTTTCGTTTTCATTTTCATTTTCATACAAAAAATAAAAACGTTTTGAAACTAATTTCAAACGCACCCATAGTCTCTCAAGTGTGAGATGTGACATGTCCATAAAAAGATATAAAAGAAATTTCCGGAGTGTCTGAGAGCTTTCTTCATGAGCTATCAATTTGTGATTAAGGTCTTGAACCTATCAATCTATATGTCTATATACATACACATATTTATTTAGTTCTCATATAAATTGTTATTTAAGGTCTTGAACTGTGTAGTGTTGATAGTTTTTTTCGTAAGATTTTTTTTTATTTAGACAAGAAACTTCCCTCTAAGATAATTATATAAAAATGGGTTTTCATTTAGTAACTAAAATCCCCTAAAAGAACAGTAATTAATTGGTCTCCTAGAGGTCTATATTGAAGAGGTCAAAACCCCAAAGATATTGATTAATGCCTCTCAACAAAAGAAAAGGATTGATTAGTGACTACTATCATTATATCAAATAGATAAGAAATGAATCTTATTTGGATAACACGTTTGGCACTAAACATTTGCTAAGAGTTTATCAGCTAATAATCCCTTTTTGATTCAGCAATCGAAAATCTTGCACTTATTTCAAATTCAAACCGTTAAAGAGTGATAAGCACTGTCCAAAGTCGGGAGGAAAAATGTGGAACCGGGAGATCAAAATTTTTATATGAAAAATGATTGAAATGGTGAAAATTCAACATAGCTACGCACTATAGACTCATCAAATGCTTCATACTTACCTATAGCTCCACTATTCGACCGATCATGCAAACAAATTCCAGCTTGATTAAACAACGCTAGTAGACTCAGTAACTCCTCATGTAACAGTTTTAAAGGCCTCTTGTCTTCAAAACCACCAGCTTTTAGAACTCTTATGACTTTCTCCCAAAAAAGACTCACCCTAGTTTTGCAGCCTGAAGATGAAAAACATTCCTCTTCCCCATCACCGTCCCCGCCTTCTTCCACTTCCTTGAGGTTGGTAGAATCATAGCCGCGGAGATCGAAAGTATTTTCACCATTTAGGGCCACCATTTCTGACAACCTTAACAGCTCCATAACCTTCTTCTTCTGTTTAAATGTTGCTCCAAGCGTCTTGTTCTTCTTACCAAAACAAGTTCTCGTGAAAGCCCCCCACTCGTCAAGGTTGACATCGGGAAAATGGGCTTTTGGACGGATTATGACGACAGAAGAGTCAACTTTTGGACAAGGAAGAAACTCCCTCTTGCTAACGTCTGTAACATGCTCGACATCGGCCACAAGCTGCACATTCACAGCCAATCGGTTGAACTCCGAGTCTCCAGGCTTGGCCAACAATCTCTTTGCAAACTCCTTCTGAAGGAGAAGTGTGGAACTCTGATAAGGATTCGCTCCATACACCAATTTAGCCACGAGAGGTGAAGATATATTGTACGGAATGTTGGCAACAACGAGGTTAAATTAAGGAAACTAGGTCTTCAGGGCATCCTCACGTATAACCTGCAGAACCCATAACCAAAAAACTTTATGGAGCCGTTTCATCGAACATATGATGATCAATAGATTTACAGCCAAAATAATAATAATAATAATAATAATATAGAAAGAAACGACAAGGGCTCTTTCAGGCATTTTTTCGAACACATGGTGTATACAGACTTACACAGTCGATCTTTAAACCCACACTCAGAGGCTCGTTTGAGAAGAATCTCAACCATCCGGCCGTCGATTTCAACGACGATGACTCTACTGGAAACTTCCAGAAGCTTCAAAGTGAGGTTCCGAGTACCGGGTCTGATCTCCAGGACTGTGTCAGTGGGTTTTATTGCGGATTTCCGAACAATGGAATCCAGAATTCTTTGGTTCTTTAAGGAAATGTTGTCCCTTACTCTTCTATAGATACAAATGGGTTTCTCGATTCTTCTCTCTTTCCCGACATTGTCGTCGCTATCACCGTCGTCGGTATTCCGAAAGCGACGGCGTTTGAAATTTCCGTGGAGTTTCCGTATCAAATGATTTTGCCCGGAGATGAACCGGAAAATAGATTTCGGAACCACTCAAAACATGAGAGTTTCCGGTGGATCAAATATTTCAAGATGAGCGTTGAAGTGAATGTGTGTACTCCTCGCCAGAGATACAAGGAAACTAGCTAGATTGGGTCATGGGCTAGGCCAGGCTAAACTCCTTCCACTTCAGTAGGAATAAGGCCCATTAAAATTAGAGTTTGGAGGATATTTTCTGAATTTTGGAGTTTCAGAAATTAGAAAAAATTACAGAACAATCATTATTTTTCATCGTTATATTATTTATTTATGTAATTAAAAAATACATTTTAAAAAGACATTAAAAAATATTTTAGTAGAACATAAAATGTATCCTACGGAATACAAAAAATATCAGGCTAAAAAATATATTTTAATAGGATATGGATCAAAATTTTAATGACATAAATAACAATTTTAAAATTAATGGCAGAAAAAATAGTGTTATACTTTATTATAACATTCTTAAATTTTTTCTCAAATCTATAATATACAAATAAATTAGTTAAATATCAAGAAAACATAATATTTATAAGAAAACATAGCATAAATATGCAATACAAAAAAATTATGGCATAAATTTTGAAACAATAAAGGTCACTAGTGAATTTTCTTTTGAGAGAATTACATATCTTATTCCTTTGTTTGGGATAGCTTGTGTTTGTGTTTTTAAATAATAGAAAAAAAATAAGTATAAGTTGGGACTTTTTAATTAGTGTTTGGATAGTATCTGAAAAAAGTGCTTTTAAACCGAAGAAGAGTTTTGGAACTTATTTAGGTAAAAAAGTTAAAAGTACTTTTTGTTATAAAAATTAATGTAACAAAAGGATATAGATGAGATATTTAATTTTTTTGTTCACAAATAAAACGTTAAAAATATAAATAAAAAACTTTTCATAATAACTAAGAGATGACTTGCTCCAAAAATACTTAAAAAAATCAAAAGTACTTTAAGGTTGGCAATCCTAACAAGTTCAAAAGTGGGTTTTAGACTAAATAAGTCAAAAATAGTTTTTTTAAGCTAATCTAAATGGGCCCTAAGTCACTAGACCAACTAAGGCCCAATTCATATCACTAATTTAAATTTAAAATTTCAATTTTGTTACAGTAAAAAAATATAAAAAAAGTAATCACATTTAACTTTTTTATTACAGTAAAAAAGTCTCATATAAAGTTATATTTTAATTTAAATTAAAAATTTGAATTAAAAAACTGAGTTTTGTTACAGTAAAAAAATATAAAAAAAATAATCACATTTAACTTTTTTATTACAGTAAAAAAGTCTTATATAAAGTTATATTTTAATTTAAATTAAAAATTTGAATTAAAAAACTGAACAGACAATAAAATTACGTCTTTTGAAAAACTCTCTTTGACTTTGGTCAAACATTTTGACCACATACTAAAATACCCAAAATATTTTGATCACATTTTCTTCTTGGGAAAACTACAATACCGGAAGTGCTTTTATGATAATAATATCATACAATTTAAGTGTTGTCTCTCACTAAATTAGAAGTGAGCCCCACATCAAAAATTGTAAAATCTATACATAGAAGCATAAAACCAATTTGTTACTCATGATTTTGATTTTATTACAACATTTTCTTTTCACAAAAAATTTAAATTTAAAATACTAAAATTAAGATATTACAACATTTTCTTTTAAAAAAAAATTAAATTTTAAATACTAAAATTAAGAATAACGCGGTAAAAATAGAACCCAAAAGCCCCATCTTCATAAAAAAAAGAGATCCGGTCTTCTCTTTTGGACACGAAACCGGAAGTTTGACATCTGATCCACCCAAATGCTGGCGACGTCCTCTGTTCATCGGTTGTTTCTCTGATGGCAGCTAAATCTCCTGCTCGCCCAGTCCTTGACGACTTCTTCCGTCTCATAATCACGCCGGCACCCTCTTCCATGGCGCAATCTCTCTTTCACCCAAAAGCCAGTGCCGTTCTCCGATACTCGTCTTCCTCATCCACTGGTAGACGGCTGAGCACGACACGATCTCATTGGCGTAAATGTTGAATCTCCATAACCAAAACGTAGTTTGATGTCGCACGAAAAAGCTTTTGATCGTCGCCGGAGATTGTCGAGTCTCTCAGATTTCAACATTAGATATCAACCAGGTGTTGACTCAGTTCTCACCTTCAAATTCTCTTTGCTCTCGGATTAGTTTGTTTGGTCGGTGAGAAAATTTTAGGGAAGAACATAAATTAAGTTAATTCTCCATTTTTGTTTGAGGAAATCTTGACATGTAATGAAAGAAAGTGTTAATAGGATGGTGCGTATGTGTTTATATTTTTTAATTTACTGGGTTAAATGTGGTCTTGATTACTAATACCTTGTTCACTTTGTAAATTTAAATTTTTAATTTAAGTTGAGATGTGACATCTTTTAAGAGTTTTTTACTGTAACAGAAAAAATTAGATGTGACATTTTTTGAGAATTTTTTATTGTAAAAATTTAAAACTGAAAAATCAAATCGGTAAAATGAATGAGGCTTAAATTATTGTTTTGAATGGATAAAATAGATTCAGATTTTTGAATTTCATTTCTCGTTGTTGTTGCAATGCTTATGATGGTTTAGAAAATTGTGTAAAAGAAAGAATCATCTGAAATCATCCCTCTGGTTCTTGAAAGAGCTGACGAGCTCCTCTGGTACCCAGTACCCACAACAGACTCTTGTTTGCTTGAGGGAGATAAGAAAATTTTGTTTTTTTTTGTTTTCAGAAACAAGACTTTTTTCTCAAAAATAAACGAAAGGCGTTTTTTCCCTTCTAATATGTGGGTAATAATTTTGAGAAAAAGAAAAAAATAGACTAAGATTTGAGATGAATTAAAATTAATAGGTTAATAGTTTACGGAAAATAGACTAAGACTTGAGATGAATTAAAATTAATAGGTTAATAGTTTACATAAGTTAATAAATAGGCTAAATTACTGTTTTCGTCCATAACTTGTCTGGTTATAAACCATAACTTGATAAGTTATGACCTATTAATTTCTATAATTAAAAATTAACTTATATACTTTTTTAAACTTTTTCTATTGGCCTATTTTCTACTATTTTTCTATAATTTCGTGTATTTGATAGATTGGGCCATAATGATATATCCAAAAATTTTGAGCTCTTCAATTTCGATCTATCAGCTTAAATAACTTATGCTATCTATAGTATCTAAGAGGGCACTCCCCATTTTTCTCCGGATAAGATTTTTTATTTATTTATTTTTATTTTGATAATTTCTCTCCGGATAAGTTAAAGCCCGAGTTGTTCTTTTACAAAAAAAAGTTAAAAAAAAAATTTAAATTCGAGTTACAACTTTATTTAAGATTATCTTCTTTTATAAAATTTGAGTTTGAACTCGAGTTTGGGGCTAAACTCGAGTTCATAAACTCGAACTCAAATTAATGAACAATATTTTTTCTATTCTTAAAAATACCATAACTTTTTCGTTTTAATTCTGATTAAGATGATTTTTTTCTATGCATTCACAACGAAAAGACGAATAAAACCTCACCCATATACCATATTAAAATTTTTAATCACCATTGAGTTTTTATTAAAATACTATTTAAATACAAATTAAGTTTTGCTCCATCCAAATACAAACCAAGTTACAACTTTAACTCAAATTATAATTCAAATTCAACTCAAAATCATCACTCAAATTACCTTAACTAAAAAATGCAAAACAACAACCCACTTTGGCCTAGCATATGTAATAATCAATTTAAATTTTTATCTACGAAAATAATCTCCCAAAGTTATTGGATTTTGTAAATAATTCCATTAATGAATTAATTAATATCAATAGTTCAAAATTCTATTTTCCAAATGGAATTTAAAATTGGATCAAAAAATATAAATTGGAATTCAAAATTTCGGCTGTATTGCCATTTGGGAAAAAAAAAAAATCGGTTGTGTAGATTTTCTCGAATACAGATTGTCAAAAATCCAACACATTGCCTAAACAAGGTGGTTTACTTCCATTAAAGTATAAACACCGGTTGGGTTTTCAATGTAGTACAAGTTTGAAGGCGTCTTTGGACACATTTGAACACACCATTAGCATTTACTTTTATTTCTTAAAGGAAAAAAAAAAAAAAAGCATAGAATGAGAAATTAGGACCTGCCACTGCCAGGGTGGAAATTTGTTTTGTACTTAGTTTCTTAGCTGCGGAAGCCAAATTGGGCTTTTCCCTAAGGCTGCGAATTGTGTTTACATATCATGTTCGGATCGATACGATTACGGCACGATAAGATTATAGTGAACACGAATACGCACGATTAATAAACGTATCAGAAACTCAAATACGAATACGAAACGCTAATAACACGATTAAAACGACACGACACGTGAACAATGTGTTGTGACGGGCCGACACAAAAAAAAACCACGTTTATGACCCAACTAGCAAAAATAGTATAATTTTATATTGTATTCAAAACTATATTAATTGGCTACTTAATATCACTTATAGTTAAAATCATGCATAATAGCCAACACACATTAAAATATCTAAATATCAAACACACACACACACACACATATATATATATATATATATATATGATACTACTAGAGTATTAAGTATATATGTTTCAACACATACTAATTACTAAACATCCAAAGAAGTTTGAAAATATAACAAAGTACATTTAAATAAGTTTGAAAACATAACCAAACATTTGAATGTTTAAGTGCATAAAACATAAAATAAATATAGAAAAATGTCTTCTTTGAGCCTTGAGGTTGAATGCCCAACTATGTTCAAAAAACTAAAATTAGTTTCCAGTTGTTTTAACTTATTCATGAAAAAAGAAAACATTTTATTAATAAAAGGAAATTTATAGCTTGGGCATGTCACAAGGAAATTTATGTTATCTTCCATTGCATTTAAGGTGTTGAGGTTGTGAGAATTTTGAGATGAATCAGAAGTTGGCTCATTGATATCCAAAGTAAAAACATCTTCAGTAATTTTGTCAACAGCTTTACGAATCGATTTGTTATTTTCTACACATAATAGATAACTTATATGGTTAAGACTTAAGATAACATAAGCTAAGACAGTAAATAAACACAAAATAATAATAAATATACATTTATCTCTAAATAGTCAATCCCTAGTACAAACCAATGCCTCAACTACGATAAGTTTAAGTGAACTCTTATATTGATCCAATACTCGTCCTCCAACACTAAAGGCAAATCAGATGCTACAGTAGATATTGGGATACTTAAGCTCCGGATAGCAAAACTGGTTTCCTTTCTAAAATTCAAGAACATCCAACTCAACACTCCCTTGTACTCTTGGCTCATCCAAATAAACTTTTAATTCTAATTTCTGCATAACAATTTGCTCTTAGCTTTCAAAGTTATTAAACTCCTACAACCACAAACATATAAAATAAGATGAAAAAAATAAATAAAGAACAATTAGTATTCATCAATGAATGTTAAGGCATGCTTCTATCCTTTGAGCCATCACATCTAAAACCTAAAGATATATAAATATACCTCAACCTACTTTTATCTTTTACAATACATGATTTATATTAATTTCACATCCATTTTGCTCAATGTTAGAAAATGATTTATATTAATCACTGATAAATTGAAGAATAGGGATCGACAAGAATTAGAATGCTGTCTTTCTAACTAAAAGCTGTTTTTAGCAGTTTATTAAGGATAGACACCTTAAACAAAATCATGTCTTGTATTTCTCGCTAAATGAGGACCAACTTCTACGAGGGAAGCTGACGTTTACACTATGTTTGGTATGAATGAAAAGTGGAAGGAAAGAAAATGTTGGAGGGATTTTAGGATGGAAATTGATAAATTAACTTGTTTGGTAGAAATGAAATTGGGAAGGAAAAGAAAATTGAAAGGAAATTATAATGGGTGGGTCCCACCATATTTAATCTCTCCAAAAGTGGGAGGATTTTAGGAAGGAAAATGAATCTTTCACTACCTTGCTTCTTGTTTCGTTCTCTCTCTTCTTTCTTTGTTTTTTTTTTTTTTTTACAATTTGCTCGTCCATTTTTTTTTTTTTTTGTCTAATATCAATGTTGTATGTTAATGACTTGCTCTTGAAGATGATGTACAACAATGAAAACTGAAATCATATGGTTTAGAAGTTTAGTAGTCACACCAGTTTATAGCCCTTTTAGTAAATATATCTATATGGTACTTAGTTGATCGCACATAGTTTTTGTTAATACTTGACTGCAGTGAATATTGAGAAATATATATGACCATACAAACTAATACTTTTGTGGAAAATTTTGCTTACTTTACAATAGTGGATGCATTGTATATTAGTCACTTTTTTGTTGTATTTGAACCTTCAACAAGTTGTTGTATTTAAACTGTAGCTAGCTATTCTTTTGTTGTATTGAAACGTTAAAAAAATAAATGATGCATTAATGCTATATAAGTTAAACTATGTTTTTGTACCTTTATATTTGTATATGTGTGTATAATATAGATGAAATATATGTTCAAGTTACATGAATTTTTTGAGTTAATTTGATGTTGAATACTGTATTATTTATACTTTTATTAGAAAAGAATATTAATAAAAAATATTTAGGCAAAAAAGTAATTACACCAATAATAATTTTTCCATCTCTTTAGTTTCACTTCCAATACCAAACAAGTGAAGGTAGATTCATTTTCTTTCCTTCCTATCATACCAAACAAGTCAAGGAAAAATTAAAATCTTTTCTATCCTTCTAATTTTCTATGCATTATAGTTTTCCTTTCCCTCCTATTTTCTTTCCTTCTTACCAAACAGAGCATTAGAGTTGAAAGTCAAAGAACTAAGATGAAGGGCAAGGGTAAAGGAAAAGCCACATAGAAGCCACTGAATTTTCCAAAGTGATTTCAAAAAAAAAAAAAAAAAGAACTTC